TCAAAAACGTTAGTTTGGATATCTTTAACCGGATATTTCAGGAGACTAGAAGAAATCAGGATCCAGTCCAGTCAACAGATATAAAACAAAAACCTCAAAAGACAACAAAACTAGGATCTAATATCTGCAAATGTATACTATAGTTTTTACTGAAATATAATTTTTCTCTCTAAAATCACCCTTGTTTTTATCAAAGATAGCCAAATTTAGACTAACTAGTTTGTAAAATAAGTCTAGTTCCAATAAAGTTGGCCCAATTATTTACATAAGTACAGCAAAAATAGCAATTAATCATATAAGCTCTTTTAAATCTGCTTTGCTGGAACTTTTTATAAGGAATCTCAGATTGATCTTTAACGGTCTCTCGAGGCCAGGAAAGCCAAGCCAAGGATTTTGTCATCAGACTTTGCCTGCAATACCTACAGATTTGGGTGAATTCCTCTTTTCCGAGGTTCCCCCAAAATGTTTCGAGGTTCCTTGTACCTGCCAGGTAAGTGACATTCTTTACTTATCCTGGTAAGTGCTGCTTGCAACATAAGGTACCAGGCCAATATTTCCACGTGGCTTTATTCCATCAAGTCCAATCTTCATTCCTCAAAAGCTGTATGGTTATATCGCAAATATGATGTTCCAGTCATCAACCTTGGTAATGTAACCAGTGTTTCCAATTGTGTCCTTTTGCCGGCTTTCGTCAGGTGTTCCCGTATCTCATCATCTGCAGTAGTCCAGGGAGAAGGCAGTTCTTCCAGTCCCAAAACTTTTATAACCATATTGGAATTATGAGCAATATTTTTTTTTTATTCTTTGCTTCTGGAATTTTATTTCAAAATCAGATTTTAAAGATAAATTTAACTTCGAATTTGTAGCTTATTAGCTTTTATATTTCATGACACTCAAACCTTATGAATTAAAATCTATCTGTATTTGGACTGAAAAGTTTTTTCTGTACCAAAATATGTAGTGAAATGATTGCTGGACCTTCATCAATCACTAGTAATGTAAAAAAGATTTTATTAAGATTACCTTTATCCAGAAAATGTCATATAATGGGATGTAAAATCATTCTAAACACAAAATTCAAGTGATCATACAGTGAGTAATCATTAAAAGGATTTTTGCAATACTGTATTTGGTACTACTAATATTTAATTTTAAGAAGTCTGCTTATATACTGTGATGTCATTGCTATTACTTTGTAAGTTCAACATAGGAATTTAATTACTATAGTAAGAAAAGTAAAGAAATTTCTTAGTGTTAACTTGGTAAGTGATCATTTTGTGAACAAATATTTTTCCCAATTGAGTAAAGTGCATAAAGATTTTCAACTTTGGTGTTTTAAACCTGATGTAAAAAATAAAATTTGCTTTTTGCTAAAACCAAATTCACTTGCGCCTTTTTCACCTTTGAGTGAAAAGGAATTGTGTTTTTCTAAAGTGAGCTGTAGGGCCGGCCCCGTGGCTTGGTGGTTAAGTGCGCGCGCTGCGATGCTGGTGGCCCGGGTTCGGATCCCGGGTGCGCATCGAGGCACCACTTCTCCGT